TAAATTACATTGCTTTTAATTTCAGTGTAATCTTGTTGCTAGCATATAGAAGTAGAATTGATTATATGTGTTTATCTTATATCTTGCAACCTTGCTAAACTCACTTATTTCTAGTAGATTTTTGTTAGGATTTCCTATATAGATAATCATGTCATCTACAAATAAAAATAATTTTACTTCTTCCTTTCTAATATTTATACCTTTTATTTCTTTTCTTTGTTTTTTTATGTGATAGAAATTCTAGTATAGTTGTACATAGAACTGGTCAGAGCAGATGTCCTTGCCTTGTTCCCAGTCTCATGGAGAAAACATTCTTTTGCTATTAAGTATTATCTTAGCTATACTTTTTTCATAGATTTCTTTTATCAAGCTGGGGAATTTACCTTCTGTTCCTACATTGTTGATAAGTTTTATCATGATGATTGCTGAAATTTGTTGGATGCTTTTCTCTGTCTCTTCTGTCTATTGAGATGATCATATGTTTCCTTTTTTGTTTGGCTGTTAATGTGATACATTACATTGATGATTTTGTTTGTTTGTTTTGAGATAGGGTCTCGTTGTGTTGCCCAGGCTAGAGTGCAGTGGCATGATCATAGCTCACTACAACCTCCAATGCCTAGGCTCAAGTGATTCTCCTACCTTAGCCTCCTGAGTAGCTGGAACTACAGGCGCATGCTACCACTGCCCACCTAATTTTTTTATTTCTTGTAGAGACGGGTTCTCGCTATGTTGCTTAGGCTGGTCTTGAACTCCTGGCCTCAAGCAATCCTCTTGGCTCGGCATCCCAAGGTGCTAGGATTACAGGCATGAGCCACTGTGCCTGGCCTACCTTGATGATTTTTGAATGTTATACCAACCTTTTTTTCCTAGGGTAAATCTTTCTTAGTCATGATGTATTATAATCCTTTTTATGTATTGTTGGATTTACTGTGATTTAGTTTAGAATTTTTTCATCTGTGTTTATGAAGCTTATTGGTCTGTAATCTTCTTTCCTTATAATATATTTTCTGATTTTGTCATAAAGATAATGCTAACCTGATATGATGATTTGGGAAATATTCCCTCTCTTCACTCGTGAGAATTTGTGTTCAGTACTTTTTTTTTTTGAAAAAGAGTCTCACTCTGTTTCCCTGAGTAGAGTGCTGTGGCATTAGCCTAGCTCACAGCAACCTCAGACTCCTGGGCTTAAGCAATCCTCCTGCCTCAGCGTCCCGAATAGCTGGGACTACAGGCATGTGCCACAATGCCTGGCTAAGTTTTTTCGATTTTTAGTAGAGACGGGGTCTCGCTCTTGCTCAGACTGGTCTCGAACTCCTGAGCTCAAGTGATCCTCCTGCCTCGGCCTCCTGGAGTGCTCGTGTTACAGATGTGAGCCAGCGTGCCCGACCTGTGTTCAGTGCTGTTATTTCTTCCTTATATATTTGGTACAATTTACTAGTGAAGTCATCTGTGTCTTGAATTTTTTAAGGAAGATTTCTAACTACAAATTCAATTTCTTTAATATATAGGAGCTACTTCAGGATATCTTTCTTCTTGAGCAAGTTTTGGTAGTTTGTCTTTTGAGGAAATTATCTATTTTGTGTAAGTGTTACCGAATTTATTGGAATGACATTGTTCATAGTGTTCCTTTGTGTCTTCTCTCTTTTTTCCTGAAGTCTGGCTAAAGGTTTATCAATATTATTGACCTTTTCAAAAAGCCAGCTTTTGATTTCATTGACTTTCTCTGATTGTTTTCTGTTTTCTATTTCATTGGTTTCTGCTTTAATTTTTATCTTCTGTTTTCTTCTGCTTATTTTGGGCGTAACTTGTTCTCCTTTTTTTGGTTTCTTACAACAAAATTATTTACTTGAGACCTTTCTTTTTTTAATTTGTGTTTAGGACTGCAAATTTCCCTCTAACCACTGTATCTCACAAATCTTGATATATTAATTATAATTTTCCTTCATTTCAAGATACTTTCTTATTTCCATTTTGGTTTCTTTTTTGATCCATGGTTTATTTATAAGTCTGTTACTTAAGTTCCAAATTTTGGAGATTTTTCACATTTTTTTTTTTGGTTATGGATAACTAATTCACTTGTAGTCAGAGAAGATACTTTGTATGATTTAAATTTATAAATTTGAATTTAAACTTGTTTCACGGCCCAGAGTATGGACTACATTGGTAAATATTCCATGTGTACTTTGGAAGAATGCGCATTCTGCTATAGTTGGGTAAATGTCAATTAGATCCAACTGGTGGATAGCATTGTTCAGGTCTTTTATGTCCTTACTAATTTTCTGTCAACTTATTCTATTAATTACTGAGCGGAGGGATGGGGCACAATGGTAGTCCAAGCCAAGAGCTAAGGTTAAGGGCAGGTAGGTGTGAGGCTGTGTACATTTTCAGATTGTTTTTATTCTGGTGGGGTTTTTTTGTTTTGGTTTTGTTGTTATAAACTGGGAGGTAATTGTGTTTAGTAAAAGCTGTGAAGAAAAATATATTTCACTGTTGAACAACAAAATACAGTGACTATCTGAAAAAGGAGGGGTTGTTGAAATTTCTAGTCATAATTATGGATTTATCTACTTTTCATTTAATTCTGTACATTTTTGCTTTATATATTTTGAAGCCTTGTTATTTAGTGCACAAACATTTAAGATTGTTGCATTCTCTTGGTGAGTTGGCCCCCTTATGGTAACAAAATCACAATTGTTATCCCTGGTGATATTTTTTGCTTGGGAACTTCTTAATATTAATTTAGCCAGCAGTTTTAAAAAATTAATATTAGCACATCTATCTATATCTAAATATCAATAAATGTGTATATCTAATAAAATATCTTTTAAGTTGCCAAGTGGGTTTATATTTTAGTTTATCTTGGAAAATCCTTTTCTCATATTTGCAGTATTACCACTCGCTGCTCCATTAATAATTTATGACTTGAATGTAGTTTTAAAAGTGCTTTGGTATCTGTTATTTGTAGTTCCCATAATAATTTTTCAAGGAAGGATATTTTCAGTTAGCTTTTGTAGATGACACATCTAGGGCTTTGCAATTTAGATGTTTTGCCCCAGGTCGTGGTTAATTTGGTAAGGAGGTGGTGTGTCTTAAAAACGCCCATTCTTTGAACTTCAACTCCAGAATTTAAAAAGTATTCACTCTTCTACTTATTTTTTAAAATTAAAAAAAATTTTAATTGGCATGTAATAATTTTACATATTTATGGATACAGAGTGATTTTGTTACATGTATACAATGTGTAGTGATTGAATCAGGGTAATTAGCATATCTATCACCTCAATATTCTGGATATTAATCCCTTGTTGGATAAATTCTAATTGGCATGTAATAATTTTACATATTTATGGATACAGAGTGATTTTGTTACATGTATACAATGTGTAGTGATTAAATCAGGGTAATTAGCATATCTATCACCTCAATATTCTGGATATTAATCCCTTGTTGGATAAATTCTTTGTAGATATATTCTCTCATTTTAGAGGTTTTCTCATCACTCTGTTGATTGTTTCCTTTGCTGTGCAGAAGCTTTTTAGTTTGATATAATCCTGTTTGCCTCTTTTTCCTTTTGTTACCTGTACTTTTGAAGTCTGACCCATAAAATCTTCACCCAGACAAATGTCCTGAAGCATTTCTACTATGTTTTCTTCTAGTAGTTTCACAGTTTGGGATCTTACATTTAAGTCCTTAATCATTTTGAGATGATTTTTGTATATGGTAAGAGATAGGAGTCTGGTTTCATTCTTCTGCATATGGATATCCAGTTTTCCCAGTACCATTTATTGAAGAGGCTGCACTCAAATTGTATTTATAGGTCAAGTAGTATTTTCTCTAATTTTCTATGGTTAACTCCCTAACATATTGCTTGCAAGGGAGTTCTTTCTGTGTGCCAATTTTCTACCCAGAAATGCCTTTTTTTCCATGTCAAAGTAGGTATTAGAATTCTAAAAGGGTCCCCTTCCATATATCCTCACATTGTCATAACTCTCCTAAATTTATGCATTATCTCCATTCCCACACAGTCTGGGTACTTACACCTTTGCTAAAGAGAATATTGAAATCTGTTGAATTACACAGTTTCCTGTGCGTTGATTAGCTGATATAATTCTGTACCTGAAACCAAGCTGTTGTATCATTCTTGCTCTCTAAGGCAGTCCCAATGTAGACTTGGATAGATACTAAAAATTTGGTTGCAAAAAGGATTTATTTCATTTATTTATTTCACTTTTCATAGTTCAGTGTTTTCTATTTTGCTACATGTACATTACAAAAAACTATTAGCAGGACCTTTTCTGTACACTAAATACTTTGTGTATTATATATACATAATTTTTTATGTTATGACTATTTCTAGCTACTTTACAATAATTAGATGGAATTTCTTCATATATTTTTAATCTCGTTCTTTTTGGTTTTGTTCTACATTCTAAAAACATCTCTTTTGAAATGTACTCTGGTATTTGGACTGTTAGTCTTGATTAAGAGTATAGTTACCATTTATTCCTGTTATCTCTGTGTACAGTTTTGTTTTTATTTTGTAAATATTTTCACGTACATATATTATCTTAATTAGATTTTACATAAGCTTTTCAAGGACAAGAGTTGTTTCTTGTCCTCTATTTCCACCTTCTGCCAAAATCCCTCAAACACCTAAAAAACCACATAGCAAATAATGTAGATTCATTTAGCACTATACTTACCAAAAGATACATATGTTTTGTTTCACCAAATGCTAGAGAATATTAAGCCTAGAGAATATTAGGTCTGGCATTTTACAATTGTAGCATAAGGTGTTGGCATTTTAAAACAATTTTCAGAGTTGAATCACAAGGAAAGGAGCCTGTCAGTTTTTACCAATGACAAGGTCAGTATGTCATTGAACTTCTAATGAATTTGTTAAAAGTGTAAAGAAATATTCATTTATCCTTTTTGGAGCTTGTTTTATTTACTTGTAATTCCATATATCTCATAAAGTTTTTACTTTTATTTTCTCAAAGCAGTTCTTGGAACACCTCACAGCTTGCCACATCTGATGAATCCATCCATCTCCCCTGCATTTTTACATTTGAATAAAGCACATCAGGTACATTGAGCACTGAAGCATCAAATATTTGCAGTCAATATTTTGCTTATTCTTGACATCTAAAATTCTCAATAAGTTAAATGGGTATTTTACTTTTAAATAAAAGCCTTGGTAACAAGTATGGCTACTAACTTCATAACTTAATGAGTCCATCAGATCCTATTCAGCTAATCAAAGCCACATAGTTCTATGTCTTAATATTTATTGATTTATATTTGTAGGGCTTTAAGAAGGGAAGCAGTATATTTTTGTGGCGTATTTTTTTTTCTAGATGATAAATTGGTTACTCAAAATAAGGCTTCTTCTGTGATCTTAAAAAAGTATAGAAAGAAAAAATCAATAACTTTGAATTCTTAAAATTTAGTTAATGTTATAAAAATAATTCATATATATGAGAATAAAGCATATTTTTCTTACCTTTTTCAGATAAGTGTATGTGTTTATATATATAAATGTTCATAATCTTAGAGGTAAACATTACTCATTAATTTCAGGTACTATTTAATAATGTAGAATTCTAATTACAAGTCAAGCCTAATATATAGTAGAGGTTTAATGTAAGTTGAATGAATGAATGTCTAGTCCTAAACTCAGCTTTTTAAGGGAAAGGCCTATTTTTTATTTTTCATCCTGAGAATCTAACGTAGAACTTGGTGGTACATTCTAGGGTCTTCATTCATCTACTCAACACATTTTATTGAGAATCTGATGTGTATGTACTGGATACTGTGCTAATCACCGAGGCTATGACATTGAATAAAACATTCATAGTCTCTGTTGTTATAGAATTCCAACCTGTAGGGAAAACAAACATTAAACAATCAATTACAATAAGGTGTGAAGAGAATGATATGAAAGAGGGAATTCGGAGTATTGATAATATTCCCTTTGTTTTAAGAGAAAGACCAAAATGCTTAATTTTGCCTTTAAGACCCATGCAAGCTGGCCCCTCCTGCCTCTCAGCTCATTGCACATCACTATCCCGCTACAATGGCCTGCTTTTGGTCCTCCTGAGGACCTTGTTTTCTTCTCCTTAGGTCTTTGCTCCTGCTGTCCCTTCTGCCTAGAATACTCCCCACCCCAACACCACCCAGTTTCCCCAGACTTCACCTGGTTATTTCTACACAGCCTTCAGATCTCAGTGCAAGAGTTCCTCAAGGAAACCTTCTATTACGATTTGTAATTATATGTTTTTATATTGTACTTAATGGCTCCCTTCCACAGGGTACTATAAGGTTCATGAGGACAGATCATATTATTGCATTTTTCACTATGTAGCACAGTCCATGATACATAGAAAGTGCTCAGTAAATCTTTGTTGAATGATTAAATGAATAAATAAATGAATAGAACATCACTGTCATTAAAGCAAAAAAAGGGTGAGAGGAAGGGAGGAAGGGTGAAAGAAGGAAAGAATGTAGAATTATCTCATGACCACATGGTCATCTCCTGCATATTATTGAAAGAATTAATTAGCTTTGTCTGAAATTAGAAAGTGAAATATTATATAGTAAGAAGCTATTGCTTTTACTCACATCACCTGGAGAATTGAACTTTAAAATGAATTGGGTTATGCAACAAATAGCTTTCCAAAATTAAACTAACTTAATGTTTTATCATTTTCACAGAGCTCACTTATGGGTAATACTTCTAATTTATTCCTTAAGAATCTTTCTCGTGTACCGCTGGCACAGCAACAGTTAATGAAGTTTGAGAATATTCATACTAATAATGTAAGTATGGTATTATTTTTTTCTTTTGAAATCAGTATATTCCTTTTCTAGAATCAAGCTGTTTATAAAATTGTTTATGAATTTTTGTAAGTGTTGTCTTTTTTAGGTTCCATCTTACCGCATGCGTGGGCAAAGATCTTATCTTTTCTTTTTCTTTTGTAGAAACCTGGCTTACTTGGAGAACCCCCAGCTGTGGTACTTCAAACCGCACTAGGAATAGGGTCAGTGCTTCCACTGAAAAAGGAATTGGGACATCACGGAGAAGCACATAAAAGTAAATGATGTGTATTTACCGAGAAGTCAGTAAACAGTCAAATTTGAGATTTACAGATGGTTTACCCATATTCTACTTTTATTTACAGGATGGTCAAATTTGAGTTTTATTTAGTCATTTAAAATTTGAAGAACCCTTTTCTGTTTTTAATATTGATAAGTCATTGATGGACTTGCTTCCATGCCGAGTTAAGACTTTCCCTGTTGGATATGCTTTAATATTTTATGCAGGTTCACAGCAGTATGAGGTAGAGACACGGATCCGTTGAAGACGGACATGCTGCCCACTGGGCTGACAGCACATTACTTGTGTGTCCATTTAATTGTTGCCTATATAAGAAACCCGTAGCTTTTAGACAAGAAATATCTAATATTTATAAATTTAAACTTTATTTATATTATCTTTAAAATATCTCCAAATTAGGAGTGGAAGAAAAATAATATATGTACTATGTACTTTCAAAACGCATGACAAAACAATTTTTTTTTCCAGCAAAACAGGAGCATGCTTTTATACTAAGATCTCTTATTTGAATGTGATTTTGAAGGGCACTTTCAGTTTTAAACTTAACTGAAATTTGCTTAAAGTAATCATGCTAAGTGAAAATAGAAGGACCACCTGTAATAAAAAAAAAGGTCAGTTAAATATGGGTAGCTTACTGAACCTCTTATCCATAAAACCAACTAGTCAAATATCAAGTAAACTTAGTTCTGACTGTTGAAATTGACTGGGTAAAAGTTAAACCAGTGAAGAAATTTTTGTGGTATGACAGGATCTGTTCTTCCAGAAAATTAAATTTTCTATGACTAAAAGCCTGTGTAAATGTGTATTATTTTTGTCAGATTAAATAAGCCATTTGCGTTAATGTGCGCTGCTTTAAGAACACTGAAAATTCAAAGTGTCCAAATAATTATATTGCTAAAAAAGATAGGAGAACCAGAGTATCCATCTCTAAATGATTAGCACTCAAAGTAATCGAAGAAATTTGTTTAGTGAATTTGCAAAATGTAAATTTGACTTAGTTATCAAAATTAGCTCTTTTCATTTAATTTTGACCTTCAGATTTTTAAAAAGTGGAATGATTCAGAATTTTCCTATTAAAACCTTTATTTCTTTCAGAAGTTCTTATTATTTCCTATAAATAAAAACATAATACTTTTGTGTATTAAATTTAGTGCTTATCTATTCACAATTATTGATTTTTTTTTTTTTAACCAGTGGTGTGCTGGTGTTTACCAGCCAGCTCTCTAGGTTAAAAAAAAAAGCCTTGATTTGTAGCGTTTATGTATCCATGTGTGTAAATACTTCAACCATGGCTGATTTCAGGTTACCAGTATGAAGACAATGAAATCGGGAATTGGGAAGAGATGTGCACAATCGGCTCTCATGAACTGATGCAAGCTGGCTAACCAAGTTTATTGTTGGATTCCATCAAACTTTATTAATTTTTACGTGTCAAAGAACATTTTAAACTTAAGACTTAATTATTTCCTTCAAATGTGGAAGCAGGCAAATTGCAATGACTGGGCATAAAAAAAAAAAAAAGCACCGATACAACTTAAATGCCAAAAAGAACATAAACTTTGCTCTCAATTTTATCAACTTTAAAATATATAATTAAAACTTGAAATTAAAAAATTTAATGTTATTGTTATTCTGAAAGTTGTTAAAAATAAGATCATCATTAGTATTGTAGGTTTTTGTTTTTTCATAAAGGAAATACCCAATTTACAACCTCTAATCTTACCTTTTGAATTTAACTGTTCTCTAATAGGTACAAAGTTGATTTCTCTGCATTTTGTCCATAACTTAACAAAATCAAAAGGACTATTGTGAATACGTTTTGTCTAACTAAAAGTTTTTTGCATTTGTGGTTCACTACAGCATCTAATCTGATTCCAACTCAAACAACTATAACAGCTGGAATGGGCATGTTACCATTCTTTCCAAATCAGCACCTTGCTGGACAAGCTGGGCCAGGCCACAGTAACACTCAGGAGAAACAGCCAGCCACAGTGGGAGTGGCGGAAGGCAATTTCTCAGGGTCACAGCCTTATCTTCAGACCTTTTCAAATCTTACCACTGGAGGCTTGCTGGCAGGATACCACAAGCAGCAGCAAAGCCAGCCAAAAGGCACAGAGGTAAGTTCAGGGGTAAGAAAACTGTGTATGTGCATGTACATATATATACACATGCATATATATATATATATATATATATATATATATAT